TGCACGGACACACGTTTTCATTTCTCTTGCGTGCGGACCTAGGAGTAGAATGGCTGGGTCATGCGGTCCCACGATGTTGAACATTTTGGGAAACGGCCAGACTGTTTTCTGAAGTGGCGGTACTTTCCTCTAAAAACAGCCCGTTTTCATTTCTAGATCTTTTCGATGCTGACGATTCCGAGCGTTTTAAATTTATTAGCATTGATTATACCTCCACAACAGCGCTGAGAGGCAGGGATTATTAAATCCATTTTAGAGATGAGGCTGCTTGTTCAACATCACTCGGATAGTAAGAGGCAGGCCTGGGATCAAGCTTAAGCCCGTTCAGTCCCAAAGCTCCGTCCCCTCCCCCTCCCCCGCCCACCCCGCTCCGGAGGCTCTGGATCCCACTGCTCCCCAGGAGGTGCAGCGATTGGTGGGCTCTCTCCTCCCTCCACGGGCCTAGGGATGCCATGGAAACTTCCTCCATGGGCTTCCCGGGTCTCCCTCCTCTTCTGGCCCCCACAAATCCCCCAGGCCCTGTGCAGGGTGTTTTAGATGAACTGGCAGAAAGTGCAGAGCCAGATGCTGACGTCCTAGCGGCTCTCCACTTGCCTGAGCTGGAAGGGGACAATACCCAGAGAATAGTGGCCTTTGCTGTGTCCCCCCAGCCCATCTGGGGTGGCAGGGTGGGGAGGGGGCAGGATCTGTCAGCAAGAGCACACGCCTGGGGAGGACGAGGCAGGGGCAGCCAGGAGGTCTCTCCTGTAGCTCTGGGGTCGTCTGTGCCCTCGGCTCACCTCCTACTGCCTCAGTGGTGGCTCACCTGACGCAGGTTTTGACAGCCGCCGAAGGAGTGGCTTCCAGATTCGTGATTGGTTAAAGAAAAAAATCAAAGCAGATGGTCTGTGCCTGCCCCAAGCCTCAGCTGCCTCATTTGAAAAATACACGACAGGCACCTCTAACGCAGCCATGGGGACGAGACGCCGTGTCCCCGGTGCCGGGAACGCAGTACCGGGAGACAAACACTCAGCTTCTCCTCTGCATCTGGGTGCTGGCGGCGTGCCGGGTGCCGGCCTCGCTGCTCACAGCGGAGGTCCCCGTCGTGTGGGAAGCCCGCTACTGTGCCCGCTCCGTGGATGGGAAGACAGAGGCGTGAGGTTACAAGGCCGCACGGAGGGTCAAGAGGCAGGGCTGGGACTACAGCTCAGCGCCCCCGGACCCCAAAGACGAGGCTCTTGCACACCTTGCTCCGCGACAACCTGGAGGAGGCTGGGCTGGAGCCGACCCCCGGGAACAGACGGATGGATGGCTCGGCTCCTCCGCACCCCAGCCTTGCTCCCGAGACGGGCCAGGGGGAGGTTCGAAGGGGCCTCCCTCCTGCTCTGGGGACAGAGCCCACGAGCTAAGCCACCAATGAGCGCACGTGGAGTCACTGTCCCCTTCCTCCGTCGTGCTTGTTCTGGAGACAGACAACAAGAAACGCCAGGGTGGTGCTGACCTCCTGCAGCTCAGAAAGCCGGCCAGGCCAGCGAGGAGACGCAAGCAGCACCTCTGATGAATGTCACCAACCGAACATCGAACGGGCCCCGGGGAGCGGGGACGTCGCCTAGGCGTTAGGTCGTCTGAAGCAGGCGCCGAGCTATGATGCACATCGTGTGCAGGAGCAGGCGGGGGGCGGGGCGGGGGGCACACCCGGGACTTGGCGCTCAGCTCCTGGGCCAGCTGATCAAATGAGGATTCCAATCCCCTGTCATCTGACTTCGGAAAGGCACCCGTGCCTCCCAAGGCTTCCATCACCGCCTGGGGGGCTTGATCTGCTCCTCAGAAAGTCAGCCAAGGGGCACCTGGGTGGCTCAGTCGGGTGAGCGTCTGACCCTTGATTTCCGCTCAGGTCATGGCCTCATGGTTCATGGGATCGAGCCCCACATGAGGCTCTGTGCTGACAGTGCAAAGCCTACTTGGGATTTTCTCTCTCCCTTTCCCTCGGCCCCTCTCCCCCGCTACTCTCTCTGAAAATAAATAAACAAACACTTAAAAAACGTCCTGGGCAGCTGCTCCAGCACCGAATTACACCGCTCTACTGGGACGGAGGAAGGAGGCTTCTCCCTGGGCCTCAGTTTTCCCATCTCTAAACCCAGGGGGATTGGGCTCGTCTGGGGATGGAAACGCATCCAGAGACGTTGCCCCATCTTATCCCACTGAGCCAGGACTCTGTCTCAGAATCCTTAACACACCGCTTCAGGCAACTACCACCGATAAATCAGAGCTGGCTTGCAAGAGGAAACCCGTCTGCCGTCCCTGGACGCATTTGTCTAGAAACATCCCTCAGCTCTAAAGACCGGTTATTCTCCTCTGTACCCTACGTGCTTCACCCCTCATTCCCTTTATCTAAGTTCCCCTGGACTCCTGGTGCGGTGGCTGGGAAGCTGGGGCTGTGTTTATACAGCAGGTGTAGACAGGCAGGAGAAACAGCGCCCGCGGCCCCAGGAGAGGTTCTCCCGGTGCTCAGAGCGCGGCTGCAGAATCAGGCTGTGGGAGACCAGCCTCTGCAGCTTTCTGGCCGGTCCCGCTGAGGGGGGCTTTGAGGGTGGCGGCTCCCCCCACCCAGCAAGGCCTTGGGTTGACTTGGCAGGAACGGATGAGGGAGCAGGGAGCTTGCCAAGTCCAAGGCCACGCGGCAGGGGTGGCGCGGCCCAGAGCCCACAGAGCCCACGCCCGCAAGCCCCAGACTGCTGTTAGTGGGCCAGGGCTGACGGCAGGCCTGCAGACGGCAGAGAATGTCACAGACACGCAAGCTGTGTACCGCAGCCCGAAGGGTACGGTGCTAGTCACTGGCAGGAAGACTGACTCATCTCAGCACCAAGTGCAGGGACCTGACAAACCCAGTCTGCTGAGCTGATGCGCTTGCCGCGGTTAGTCCTTCCGCACTGCCGCGCTGGCTTCTCGTCTCAAAGGCTTTCTTCCTATCACCACCCACCCCATCTAAGGCCTCCAATTTTTCCGACCAGTGGCTCGGCGGAGAGCGACACGGGCTAGTGTGGCGATTAAAAGTGAAACTTAAATTACCGGGAAGTATTTAGCGCTAGAAATTCTGGCCCTAAGTGGCACAAACCACATTTCAAGTGCCCACTGGTCACATGCGTCTAAGTGACTGCTGTGTGAGATGGCACGGAATAGAACATTCCCATCATCCCAGAGAGTTCTATCACACAGCCCTGGCTTGGAGCCAGGGCCAGCTAGCTGCGCCCCGGCTTGAGGGTTCAAATCCAACTACTATGCGTTTTGATAAATCAAGTTTTGTTTGAGAGAGAGAGAGAGAGAGAGAGAGCATGTGCACGTGAGAGAGGGGGGCAGAGGGAGAGAGAGCCCACGAGAGAGAGACTCTTAAGCAGGCTCCACATTCAGAGTGGAGTCTGATGCGGGGCTCAGTCCCACCACCCTGGGATCATGAGCTGAGCCGAAAGCAAGAATCGGGCGCTCAACCGACTGAGCCCCCCAGGCTTTACCAAGTTTTACTGAAACACACCCATCCCTGTCCCTTTGTGTTTTATGCACGTCTGCTTCTGTGCCACCATAGCAGGGTTAAGTACGTGTGACAGAAACTGGCCGCCGAGCCTGAAATGATTACTATCTGATCCTTTAGAAGGCAAGTTTGCAGTCTCTGGTGTAGACTGTCAGAAAGTCGCATCCGGATCATTTCCGGAAAGAGGCTCCCTGACATCCCCAGCAGTCACTAGTAGGTCCCAGGTGTCAGGGCGCTTTTACCTAGGCGCACGGCTCTGCTGGGGAGGGGGCAGGGAACACACGGCTGTCAGCACCCGCTACCAAACTTGGAAGGCCCACAGGATACCCCTCCCCGGGCAGGCTCTTCTCTGGGGGTGCCTGACCTCTGGGAGAGGCAGTGGGGCGAGCCCCTGGGGTGGGCACGGGTCTGCTCAGGAAAACCACACGCTGGAAAGATGTCACCATTTGCTTGCTTTATTTTTCTTTCTTCCCAGGTCAGTGAGGCAGCAGTATCAAGAAAAAGTAGACAGGCTGTGTTCTTGGATGGTCATCCGACAACCCCTCCCAAACCAATAATCCACAGATAATTCTAGGAGCTTTTCATCACTCGTGGCCTAATTCGAAGGTCTGGCATCCCACACATCAAAAATAACTCCCTTGGCGATGTTAAGCCAACTTACGTGTGCGCCCATTTCCGTGAAAGGGGGCACATCTGAGGCAGTGAGAGGGCTGCCGGTGATCTGCCTCCTGGCCCTTCTCAAGTCCCCGCAGATCAAAGAGGGGACCGGGCTAGATGCCGGGCTCCCTCCCGCTCCGCCCCCAGGGCTGCTGGACCAGCGAGGGGCCCGGGAGTTCTCTGTGGACCCTGCAAATGAGCCCCACTGGCGGCTGCCGACCAATCACTGGTGGACTAGCTCAGACTTTCTCTCCTTTTAGAAACACTGTCCTTTGTTGAAAGGGAGACCGAATGGATTCTAGAGGCTCACCGCTGCTCACTTGGTAATGTCTCCATTGTCCACAGAGGGCAGAATCAATCTGCAGCAGCTTGGAATGCCCCGGGGCCAGAGAGGGTGGATTCTCTCAGAGGGCCCAGAAGCGTCTCAAATGGTAACTTCTGGGACAGCAGGGCCCCAGGACGCTGCAATTGGAGCCCAGCAAAATGCAAATGCGTGAGGGGCTCTTGCTGGCATGCCACCAGGGGAAGCCTTGGCTTCCCTTCCCGTGCGGCCAGGAGACCCTGAGCGGGCAAGGCCCCCCCTCTCTGTCTCCGATTCCCAGGCTGAGCTGCTGAAATCTCACTCCTACCAGCCTTTCTGTGCTGATCTGTCCAAGTTATTTGGAAAAATGGAACAAAGAAAAAAAAAATATCCTAAGCTTTCAGCCCTCCCCTCGGGGCCAGGCTTGCAATGCACGCATTCTCCCAGGCCTTCATGAATTACAGAGAAAAACAGCAGGGAGTCCTCTATGGAGCTACGACTGGGGGTGGTTTAATTTGCAAGGGTCCGGGACAGGCCTCAAGTGTTGGCACGTCCCCCGCGCTGCCGTCTCTTCCGCCCGCGCAGCTTCAGCCGCCTGGCTGGCAGGCTGACGGGCTGCTTCCCAAACTTTTCCATGATCTCCCTGATCCTGGCCAGGTTGGTTTTGCTGAGAGTGAAGTCACACCGTGTGGCCCCCATGTCGTAGCCGACCATGCAGTTCTTGGTGGACGAGGTGAACCCTTCCGCCTTGGCCGTGACCACATACTCCCCGGGGTTCAGGAGGCGCCAGTAGTCCCCATCGCTGGCTGTGAAAAGAAAGCAGGGAATTCAGAGGTTCTCTTCTAACGCAGCTACCCCACCAGTCCTGTTACTCCGGGACCAGCCTCCCGGCCGGAGAGAGACTCAAGAGGCAGGCGGTGTGGAATCCGAGCCCCCGCTGATGCAAATTCTTAATGCATTTTGGGAGCTGAGATGTTTTCCTCTTTGGAAGCCACCTTAATGGTTTTACCAGGCAGGGGTTCGAGGTGAAGGCTCCCTGTGGTGTTAATACTCGTGAGTGGAGATGGAGAAATGATCACTCACACTCCTTCCTCTGTGACAATATACGCCATTCATTACCAAGCTGAGCTTCCAAATGGTGTGCCCTCGCCACAAAATGCCATCTTGAAAAGCCATCAGTGCCTGGCTTCCTGGCCTCTCTTAGCACGGCTATAAATACAGAATAGGAATTCTTTCAAGGGGTGGGACTCTTCACTTTTGAAAAGAGAAATAAAGGACCACAGGGGGCCAGGGCCAAATGATCTGGGAGGAGGTGTGGTACCTGCACCCCATTCCATGGCCCTCATTCTTGGCCCGGGGGCCAAGAGAAGCCTGAAGCTTCAGGGGCAGTGACATACCAATGCTGCAAGCCTGAGCTCCTGTCTCCCCAGGGACACTGCTGGTCAGTCACCCCATAAGCACGTAACGGGACCCGTGTCCTAGCTCTAGGCTAGATCTCTGTTGCATAGATGGGTTCCAGGCCAAGGATCTCCTCCCCAGGAGCCTGCAGCCTGCCGAGGACACGCAGACCCCCGACGTGAAAGAGACTTCAGGGCATGGGTAACCAGTGACCCCGCAGAGGACGTGGTACCCGGAAGGTCAAGGCAGGCACCAATCCACTGAGTCTCCAAGCAAGCCTTTAACACACGTTGTATGATTATTCCCTTTTCTACCTAAGTAATCTGATGCCCAGGGAGGCATAAAGTCCTGCACAAGGTCGCACAGCTAGTAATCAGCAGGTTAGGCTCTCTCTCTTATGGCAATCTGAGTGTCCCAGCTGCCCTAAAGCTTTGGGGCCAGGAGAGGACGAGGAAAGGGGCTAAGGAGGCCCTGGGCAAGGCTCATGTGTCTACACAAGCCACGAAGTCTTCCAAGGGACGGGAGAAAACTCTGTGCGTGTGTGAATATGCATCTCCCACAAACACATAACACTTTGAAGCATCAGGTGTAGATGATAATCTTTATTCATCTGAGACACACGGATGCAATTAAGTGAGCTCACGAGAACACCAAATGCCGTAAAAAACGAACTATGCAGGCAGTTCGGCCTGCTAACTGGTAAACAGGACCCAGGGTGAGAGGTCGGGGTGCACACAACGCACGTGGCTGGCTCCCCGGCTTTCTCAGTGCTGCGCCCACCCTATGTCTTCCTTGGGTGACAATGCAAGCTTTTCAACCGAATAAAAGGCCATCTCATGCTTTTCAGGAGGCAAGAGCCCGTCAGGGGTTCCCTGAGCGTCACAATGCCACTCACCCTTTGAGACCTCCCTCTGGGGTCCCGCGGCCCCCGGGCAAACCTGAACGTGCCACCCCCTTCACGCATCTCACCTGTCCTACCAGACCGCGCGTCCTCGAGTGTGAGGCCGGGCCCTGTGCTAAGCTGTCGGCTCCTTGAGAGCCTGTGTCTCACTCCTCAACACTTCTAGTGTGTTTCGTACGGTGTGCCCTCTGTGAATGCCTGTGGGATTGAATGTGGTAAAGAGAAACACACACACGGAACCCAATGTCTTATTAACACGTGAACTTGAACTTACTAAGTCCTAACTCCTGTGGATGCTTTTTCCCCTGCGAACACCAGACAGATGTGTTAAGGCCAAGAGCCGGCCGCCCGGAAAGGCTGTCTGAGCGGCTAGAGGCCTCTGGAGGCGAGACCGCTCAGAGTGCACCATCTCGAGAGTACTTTGGGTCATTTTGAAACACCCCAGGGAAGGGGGCAGGGTCCTCACCAAGGGAGGTGCTCACTGAGCAGAGAAGGGGAAAAAAAACAAAAACCCATAATTAATAAATGCTGATGGGCACCGCTAAGTGTATAAGGAGGTTTGTAAGAAGGGATTCTTCTTCCTCCAAAGCAGAAGGCTCCCTCCTCCACATGGTGGGGGCCTCCTTCTTCTCATGTCATGCTGCCCTGTCTTTAACCTGTCTTTTTTTTTTTTTTCA